AGAAGCAAGAAGGACAGGAGCTAGAGAAGCAAGAAGGACAGGAGCTAGAGAAGCAAGAAGGACAGGAGCTAGAGAAGCAAGAGAGACAGGAGCGAGCGAGAGACGGAGGCCGAGCGCCGGGCCCAAAGGAGCAGCAGCCGTCGCGGGGAATCTGAACGAAGAGGATTAACCGCACGTGCACTCTGGCCGGCCGATCTCGCGACCACCGAACCGCAGTCTCCTCCGTCTGGCCCCCGATTACGGTCGAAGGAGCTGCTCTGCATGACAGCGATCTGATAATGGCTTTGGATCACACGTTCGGCTGATTGGAGAGACGGAGGAGCAATTTACGCCGGAGGAAGAAATGGACGCTGGGGGTTTGCGTGAAAGTGGTGGTATCGCGGTGGTTAATGTTGTTATTCTGATGAGGAGGTAGGAGGTTGGAACTACTCCTTGGTTTACGTTTTTTTGGGGGGTTGTTTCTAAGTTAACGAAGAAATAGCTATCATTGTTGCATTACTGCGTTCTGAATGTCACGTTATTTTCGTAAGTGAGCGAAGAAAAGGTCATTATTGTTGCATTATTGCGTTCCGAATGTCGCGTTAGTTGCGTCTCTCGGTCTGCGAAGTTATTCCTTCTCCTTCATGCCCTTTCCTGCATCTCGCGGCAGCTCCCCGAGACGACGGACACGTGCAGCGCCGCCGACACGAAGAAGCCAGGAAGGCTTTGGCAGCAACATGCTCCTCGGCGGTTGTTAGCCACATGTCTAAGAAACCTGTCAGCCGGAAGATGGATTGTTAGCCATATATCACCTTGATCGAGGAGCAAAGGCAATAAAACTCGCGTGGTTGGAGAGGTTGGGTGGGAGGCCGGCGGTCGTGTTGCCGCGCTCGATTCCCACGATTACGGCCGATGTGCCGCCGCAACTGTTGCCTGTCCGGGAGGGAGATGTGTGTATATGTATATATATATATATATATTATATATATATATATATATATATATATATATATATATATGTATATGTATGTATGTATATATGTATATAGTATATGTATGTGTATGTATATATATATATATATATATATATATATATATATGATATATATATATGTATATATACTATATATATATATGTATATATATATAATATATATATATAATATGTATATATGTATATATGTATATATGTATATATATATATATATATTATATATATATATTATATATATATATATATTATATGTATATGTATATGTATATATATGTATATATGTTTGTATATATGTATATATGCATATATATATGTGTGTGTATGTATGTATATATATGTACACACACACACACACACACACACACACACACACACACACACACACACACACACACACACACACACACACACACACACACACACATACATATATACATATATATATAAATATATATATATATATATATATATATATATATATATATATATATATATATATATATATATATATATATATATATATATATACATATATATATGCTTTATATTTATGAATATATATATATATATATATATGTTATATATTATATATTATATATATATATATTTTATATTATAATATAGTATTAAGATCATCTGTTTTACTTTTTTAAATTAATAATTAGGATGTTAACTGGGCATAGGGTGGCCGGTGCTTGCGGGCGGATGCGGATGTGTAATTCCTTCCTGATGCGGGCCGGTGGGATCCGCCGTCGCAGGTGCGGAACATAATGGCTCGCGCGTTAGTGTGGACGTTACAAATGTGCATTATTTACACCACACAAGGCGCTGCATGGGGGTTCGGAGGCGTCGACGAGTGATTTTGGTTGGTGAAGGCATTGAGTGGGAGTGGGAGGAAGTAAGGAGGGGAGGGAGGAAGGAGGGAGGAGGAGAGGAGTGGGAGGGAGTGGAGAGGGAGGAGGGGGGAGGAGGGAGTGGGAGTAAGGAGGAGAGGGAAGGAGGAGGAGGAGGAGGGAGGGAGGGAGGAGAGGGAAGGGAGTAAGGAGGGAAGGGAGTAAGGAGGGGAGGGAAGGGAGGGAGGAGAAGGAAGGGAGGAGGATGGGAGGAGAAGGCAGGGAGACGGAGGATGAGGAGGAAGAACCTTATAGAAGCTTGACACGTTCATACACACCACGCACGCATGGATCGCTTTCCATATAAACATTCACTTTTTTCCTGGAAATATTGAATCTCCCTTGTAGTGTCCCTTTATCCGCACCCCATCCCCCACCCCCCACCCACTCTCATCCTCACCTCCCTCCCTCACCCCAGTCCCACTCTCCCCTCTCCCCTCTTTCCTCACCCGCTCCCCCTTCCCTTTATCCCTTCCCTTTCCCCCCTCCCCTCCCTCCTCTCCCTCTTCCTTCACCTATCCCCCTTCCCCCTCCCCTCTTCAAACACCCTCTCTTCTCTCCCCCTCTCCATCCTCTCCCCCTTCCCCTCCCCTCCTCTTCCCACACCTCTCTCCTCCTCCCCTCCCCTCCCTCCCCTCTCTCCCCCCCCCCCGGCTGTCTTTATTTTGCCTTGTTATCTAAAAAGTCAAACGGTCGGCTTGGCTTTGCTGCGCCGCTTAATTGTTATTTATTACGGGTTGATGAAGCCTCGAGGAAGGAGGGGGAAGAGGCTGCATCGCCGGGTGTCTGTGTGCGTGTGTGTGTGTGTGTGTGTGTTTGATTGTGTGTGTTTGTTTATGTATGTGGGTGTTTGTTTGATTGTGTTTGTTTGCGTTTGTGTGGTATATGTTTGTTAGAGTGTGTTTTTGTTTGGTGTGTGTGTCTTTGTGTTTGTTTATGTATGTGGGTGTTTGATTGTATGTGTTTGTTAGAGTGTCTTTGTTTGTGCGTGTGGTGTTGTTTGTATGTGTATGTTTTTTGTGTATGTGTTTGTTGAGTGTGTTCGTTTGTGTGTATGTTTGTGTGTGTGTGGTGTGTGTGTGTGTGTGTGTGTGTGTGTGTGTGTGTGTGTGTGTGTGTGTCGTGTTCATGTGCGTATGTAAGTATGTGCATATAGCTTTGGTTCTTTGTTGGGTCCGTTGTCGACGGGGGTTGTTTGGGTCGCCGGAGATGGAAGACTGTGTCGCGTACACGTCGTCGTGTTGGGGGGTGGGGGGGGGTGGGGGGCAGGAGAGATAGGGAGGAGAAGGTAGGATAGGAGAGATAAGGAGGAGGTGGGGGGAGGGAGAGATAAAGAGGAGAAGGGGAGGATAGGAGATATAAAGAGGAGAAGGAGGGGGTAGGAGATAATTAGGAGAAGGAGGGGATAGGAGAGATAAAGAAGAGAGGGGGATGGGAGAGAAAGAGGAGGAGGGGATAGGAGAAAGAGGAGAGGAGGGATAGGAAAGATAAAGAAGAGAAGGAAGGGATAGAGATAATAAGGAGAAGGGGGATAGGAGAGAGAAAGGGGAGAGGGGAATAGGAGAGATAAAGAGGAGGTGAGGGGAGAGATAAAGAGGAGAGGGGATGGAGATAAAGAGGAGGTGGGATAAGGATAGAAGAGATAAAGAGAGAGGGGGAGATGAAAGGAGTTGGGGGAGAAGGCGTAAAAGGAAGAGAGAGAGAGAGAGATGAAAGGAGGTGGGGGAGAGGGCGTAAAAGGAAGAGGATAGAGAGAGGACGAAGTGAGGTGGAGGAGAAGGCGTAAAAGGAAGAGGAGAGAGAAAGATGAAAGGAGGTGGGGGAGAGGGCGTAAAAGGAAGAGGAGAGAGAGAGATGAAAGGAGGTGGGGGAGAGGGCGTAAAAGGAAGAGGAGAGAGAGAGAGAGAGGACGAAGGGAAGAGGAGGGTCTGGATGTTCGTTCAGACGAGGGAGTCTCCGGTCGCGCTCGCGGCTGACCATCCGGGGCCTTAGAGGAGTAATTTTTTTTCTCTCTGTAAAGCTGTATGTAAACGGTTTTGGTAAGCATGTCAGGATCCGGCATATGATCTGATTTTTGTTTTGTTTTGTTTTTTTTTCTCGATATGAAAGGTCTTGGTTTGTTTGTTTGTGTGGTGAGACTGGGGAAGGGGAAGTTTAGTGAAGGTTGTTTTGTTTGTTTGTGTGATGTGACTGGGGAATGATTCTCTCGATATGGAAGGTCTTGTTTGTTTGTTTGTGTGGTGAGACTGGTGAAGGGGAACTATAGTGAAGGTTGTTTTGTTTGTTTGTGTAATGTGACTGGGGAACGGGGTGTATAGTGAAGGTTGTTTTGTTTGTTTGTGTGATGTGACTGGGGAATGGGGAGTATAGTGAAGTGAAGGTTGTTTGTTTGTTTGTGTGATGAGACTAGGGAATGATTCTCTCGATATGGAAGGTCTTGTTTGTTTGTTTGTGTGGTGAGACTGGGGAATGGGAACTATAGTGAAGTGAAGGATGTTTGTTTGTTTGTGTGATGTGACTGGGGAATGATTCTCTCGATATGGAAGGTCTTGTTTGTTTGTTTGTGTGGTGAGACTGGGGAATGGGAACTATAGTGAAGGTTGTTTTGTTTGTTTGTGTAATGTGACTGGGGAACGGGGTGTATAGTGAAGGTTGTTTTGTTTGTTTGTGTGATGTGACTGGGGAATGGGGAGTATAGTGAAGGTTGTTTGTTTGTTTGTGTGATGTGACTGGGGAATGGGGAGTATAGTGAAGGTTGTTTGTTTGTTTGTGTGATGTGACTGGGGAATGGGAGTATAGTGAAGGTTGTTTGTTTGTTTGTGTGATGTGACTGGGGAATGGGGAGTATAGTGAAGGTTGTTTGTTTGTTTGTGTGATGTGACTGGGGAATGGGGAGTATAGTGAAGGTTGTTTGTTTGTTTGTGTGATGTGACTGGGGAATGGGGAGTATAGTGAAGGTTGTTTGTTTGTTTGTGTGATGTGACTGGAATGGGAGTATAGTGAAGGTTGTTTGTTTGTTTGTGTGATGAGACTAGGGAATGATTCTCTCGATATGAAAGGTCTTGTTTGTTTGTTCGTTCGTTAGATGACACGGAAATGAGAATTATAGTGAAGGATGTTTGTTTGTTTGTGTG